GGAGAGGAGAAGCTCCAGGGAGAGCTCAGAGCCCCTTGCAGGGCCTGAAGGGGCTCCAGGAGAGCTGGAGAGGGACTGGGGCCAAGGGCTGCAGGGCCAGGAGCCAGGGAATGGCTGCCAGTGGCAGAGGGCAGGGCTGGATCTTGGGATCTTGGGCAGGAATTGTTCCCTGGCAGGGTGGGCAGGGGCTGGCACAGGTGTCCCCTGCCACTGGCAGCCATTCCCTGGCTCCTGGCCCTGCAGCCCTTGGCAATTGTCTCTCTCCAGCTTTCCTGGGGCTCCTTCAGGCCCTGCAAGGCCACCCTGAGCTCAGCCCAAAGCTTCTCCTGGCCAGGCTGAGGAATCCCAAGCCATTCCCATCAATTCCAGGGGTGTGGAAGCGGTTCCAGGGATCAGCCGTGCCCGGGAGGGGCGACTGAGCCTGACAGGCACAAGAGCCGGAATCCGGCCCGGGTTCTAAACAGGGATTTAATTCCTGTGCTCTCGCTGACAGCAGCCTCTCGAGTGGCAATGGTTTGTAAATGGAGTTTTTTTCCTGCTGGATGAGAACAGGGCATGGCCGATTTGCTGCATGTTTTCCATCCTGCAGATATCACAAACATCAGCTCTGGTATTTGTGAGCCTTCCCTCTGGGTGACTCCTGTGAAGATGAGAAGCTTTTGCAGTCTCTGATTGAATGGGAAGACACGCTGAGATTTTGGCAGAGTCTCCAGCACTTGCACGGAACGAGCGTTAACAGAAACAAACCCAGAGCTGGAGCAGAGGAGAAGCCCGAGGGAAAAACAGCTCGGTGAACTCGGGTTTCCTTCTCGGAGATCGCAGGGATCAAATGTGTTAATTGGGCAGGTGGAGCCGCACCAAAAGCCACGGGCTGGGCTTCGCCTGGAAGTCCAAACAACAAAATACATCCGGACCTGAGCGAGATCCGGGAAGAAATTAATGCGGAAAACCTCTGTACCCGAGTGAGATACAACCAGGAGGAAATGAACGCAAAGAAAAAAGGAAGAAAAGGAGGAAAAAGGGCCCAAGCTGAGCACTGAAGGTTTTCTCTCACACCTGCGGTCGGTGGGCAGAGCTCCCCTCACTCCTGTCCCCGCTGGCTTTGTGCTGAGCTTTGTGCTCGGAGGGGCTCGGGCTGGGGCGCTGCTGCTCCCGGGGGACCCCCGAAGATGCCAGTGGGAACTGGGAAGTTTCAGAGGCTCTGGAGCCTGCAGATGGGAGGCTGAGAGCTCCGAGGCAGCGCTGGAACCTTCTCAGGCGTGGGAGCTGCGGCCACACCCCGGCCCTCGGTCCCTCGGGTTCCTCCGGGCCGGAGCGGGGCTGAGGCTGCTCCTCGGGGGGGACACGGGCAGCAAACCCCTCCAACAAGAACCCGGTGACATTCCGAGTGATTTCCAGCACGAAAGAGATAGTCTGCTTTTTATTAAGTTATCACTTCATCATGTTCCCTGATTGCCTTCATTCATGCCTTAGTTGTCTACAGACGCTATTAAAAAAAAATAATCCATATTCATGGCCCGGCAAATGGGCTCCGCTCCACATTTTAGTGTCAAAATCAAGTTCGGGTGAAGGGCTCCTCTGGGAACCCTCCGGGGCCGCTTCCCGGGATGCGCCAGCGAGCGGCGGCTGCGATGCGGAGTCCAGGGAGGGGGAGGTGCGACATTTCACTTGTCATCTCACGGCAGAGATCGGCCCCGTGATTCCCCGCACCCCCTGACAGGGCCGGGCCGTCCCGGTCCCGATCCTGATCCTGATCCTGATCCTGATCCTGATCCCGATCCCGATCCTGATCCCGATTCTGATCCCGATCCCGATCCTGATCCTGATCCTGATCCTGATCCTGATCCCGATTCTGATCCCGATCCCGCTCCCGATCCCGATCCCGATCCTGATCCTGATCCCGATCCCAATCCCGATCCCGATCCCGATCCCGATCCCGATCCCACTCCTGCTCCCGATCCCGATCCCAATCCCAATCCTGATCCCGATCCCGATCCCGATCCCGATCCCGATCCCGATCCTCATCCCTATCCCACTCCCGCTCCCGATCCCGATCCTCATCCCTATCCCGATCCCGATCCCAATCCTGATCCCGATCCCGATCCCGATCCCGATCCTCATCCCTATCCCGATCCCGATCCCAATCCCGATCCCGATCCCGCTCCTGCTCCCGATCCCGATCCCAATCCCAATCCTGATCCCGATCCCGATCCCGATCCCGATCCTCATCCCTATCCCGATCCCAATCCCGATCCCGATCCCGCTCCTGCTCCCGATCCCAATCCCCGCCCCGCTCAGACCCCGCGGGCCGCGCCCGGGGCAGAGTTCACGGTCACACGGGGGACAGAGGTCACCCAGGACATCGCTCCCTTCGGGACTCAGATCCCGAGATTTCTGCTGCGGGATCGGAGAGGGATTTCCTCTCTGGAGGGGGCAGAGGGGAAAAAAAGAAACGAGAGGAAAAGAAGAAACAAGGAAAAAAGGAAAAGAGAAGAAAAGGAAAAACAATAAAAAAATAAAAAGGGAGAAAAAGGGGAAAGGAGGAAAGAGGAAGGAAAAGGAGAAAAGGAGGGGGAAGGAAAAGAGGAAAGGGAAGGGGGAGGGGAAAAGGAAAAAGAAAAAAGGAAAAGGAAAAGGAAAAGGAAAAGGAAAAGGAAAAGGAAAAGGAAAAGGAAAAAAGGAAAAGGAAAAGGAAAAGGAAAAGGAAAAGGAAAAGGAAAAGGAAAAGGAAAAGGAAAAGGAAAAGGAAAAGGAAAAGGAAAAGGAAAAGGAACCAGTCCACTGCCCATTTCTCCCTCCCACACCCTCAGGGTGATGCCAGAGCGGCCTCAGGATGCAGTGGCCCCAAGCTCCGGCTGCCCCCAGGCACCTCTGCCCTCTGTCCATCCCTCTGTCCATCCCCTCTGTCCATCATCTCCTCTGTCCATCATCTCCTCTGTCCATCATCCCCTGTGTCCATCCCCTGTGTCCATCCCCTGTGTCCATCCCCTCTGTACATCCCCTGTGTCCATCCCCTGTGTCCATCCCCTGTGTCCATCCCCTCTGTCCATCCCCTCTGTACATCCCCTGTGTCCATCCCCTGTGTCCATCCCCTGTGTCCATCCCGAGGCCGGAGCCTGTTCCCCGCCTTTCCCCGCTGTCCCAGCTCTGTTCCGGCCCCCCGGGAGGCTCCTGCCCCCCGCCCC